CTAATGCTATTTTCATCCTTATCTCAGGTCTTACTCCCAAGGACATGTGATATAAATTCATCCCACCATCAAAATAATCTGAGGGGTATAATACTCTCCAGGTCCCTCTATGCTGTCACAAAGGTTAAGAGATCCTTCTTTTTTAACAGCTGCATAGTATTCCATGGTGTAAATGTACCACAGCTTTTTTATCCACTCTCTACTGATGGGAACTGTAGGTGGGTGGGAAGAAATTAACCAAAGAACTTTTATGCATATAAGCATAACCCATGGACACAGAGAATAGTGTGATGAAGGCCTGGGGTGGGAGGTGGGGGTGGGATAGAAGGAGTCAATGGGAAAAAGAGGACATCTGTAATACTTTCAACAATAAAGATAAAATTTAAAAAATAACCTGATGGACTGATGTAGTTATGACTGAATTTGCAGAGTTACTCTGCACAATTCTTCATTGTGCCTTTTTTCCTGAAACTGAGGCAATCTCTCTAAAGGTCAGGTTTATACATCTAGGTCTTCTCCTTTGTCAAGTCTTTATCCTATACACATGATATAAGCCTTTCTGAGATCTCCTTCTTGGTGTTAACACAGGCTAGGTCAGGGAAGAAAATTACCATGTCTGTGAGAAGCCCTTTATGGATTTTAGTTTGATGTGGCTACCCTTGAATTGCTGTTTTCAAATAGTATTGTGGTACAAGGGAATTAAAAATGGAATGCCTACAGAATTTTCAGTGAAAAATTTTCATGTATTAGTGGGATTATTTTAAAATATCTTCTATATACTTTAATTTATATCACATCACTTTTACAAGAAAGATAAATGTGAGGTGGTCTTAAGTGAATGATCTACAAAACTTGGTGAATCTATATTTCCATATCCAAATCAAGATATTGCAAAACTATGAATGGATAAAAGATATATTTAAAATGCAAGATAGATTTTAATTTAACAGAGTGAAAAATTTCATTAATGATTTTTTTCTCAAAACCTTTATTTTCCATGAGAAGCTTTGAAACTCTTAGTGTTCATGCTCATTTACAATTTATTTGAATTATACATTACTCAATTAAGTAAGAAACTTTTAGGTTCACATTGCAACTAACTTTTAATCAAATATCACTTGTTGACTTTTAGTGTAGTGTCAAATAATATCATAATTATCTGAAAAGACTAATAAAGTTATCTTCCCTTTTCCCAACTATATATCTGCGTGAGAATGTATTTTTTTGCAAATATTTCAACCAAAAAAATATTTTAAGAGATAAAATGATAATTTAGCTGTCTTCTATCAACACGGGCATAAAAGAGATTTTCAAAAATGTTAAAATGACACACTTCTTATTATATTTTGCTCTTTTGGAAAAGTTATTTCTTTTAAGAATATGTTAATCATGTAACACAATTTTATTATTTTTTGAGTGAATTAATGTTTTAAAAATGTCTATTTCAGTCAAATATGGGAAATATCAATGGATATAACATAAAAACAAAAGCTTTGGGGAGTCCTCAATAGTTTTAAGAATGTAAAGTGATTCTGAGACCAAAATATATGAGAACTGCTGCTCTAGCATGAAGTGAAGGGACAGATAGCTTTAATATAAGCTGAGACAGAACTGATTCAGTGCTGGTTTGCAGTGTGTATAAGGCTTAGTCTACCTGCAGTCTGGCCCTACTCCTTAGGTTTAACTTTGCAGAAGTCCCAACTGACAACTCTTTCTTCCACCTTAGGGTATCTCCTCCTTAGTGTGTCTTGACTTGATATTTTTCTTCTTAGCACAGAAGGACTTCAAAATCTTCGCTTTGCTGTCTCAGAGCTTTTTGCTTATCTTCTGTTCCTGCTCCAATAACTTAATTAGAAAATGCTTAAAAGGGAAAACAGGTACTGATTGTTGGTCTCACTTACTCTGACCTCAAGAATCTTGACTTCTCAAGTCCTAGCTTCCTTGTCAGTCATGGATTCTAATATTTTTCTTCCTGGGACTGTGTGAGGTCTTCTGGCTACTCTGCCTCTTAGCTGTCACCTCTATCCTCCTACTCAGTCTCTTTCCACATGGGATGATTTGATAAATGACCAGAAGGGAAAAACAGTGTGTTCAAAGTTTTATTCAACACATTCAAATTCCTATCTTCTTGTCTGGCCCTTCATTTCCTTTTTGCCTCAACAAATCTCTAGCATATTCAAACAAAGAGTGTCTGTTTCTTTTCTTTTTAAAAAATATATCTTTATTGATTTCAGAGAGAGGAAGAGAGAGAGAGAGAGAGAGAGAGAGAGAGA